CAATTTGCTCGTTTTTGACCGAATTTCACACACAAGAGGTACCACTAGCTCCCATTCGTTGCGTTGTGTTGATTGTTGTGGCACGAGGAGGCCTACTCCGAGTCGAGCACTTCCCAATTGTTCACACGCTCCCAAGCTCCAACCCCGCACGCCACGTGTTTGACAGTTTGCCCGAACAAAGAACAATGGTCGGCCGCGGCACTAGATCAAAGAAAAAGGCTCCCACGGCATCAACGTCCAAAGCGGCTGCCTCCACGAGCTCCAATCCCGACCCGGCAGCCGAAGCACAGAATCTCGCTCAACTACACTGTGTCCCATTCAAGGTCTACTCCATGGACGAGGTAACGGATTATCAGCGGCTCGCAGAAAAACCTTTTGTCCATCCACGCATAATCGACTGGGACTATTTCAACGACGAGCTCGAGATCGGTGGCGATATCCACCGCTACATCCAGTTGCTCGACCTAGAGGAATTCGAGAACAAGCCAGCCTATGCTTACAAGAACTTGACCTTAGAGTTCTTCAGCACTATCGCCCTACACGACCACGGCAAATACCTCATTGTTCGAATGAAAGGGAATGGGTACAAAATCACTGATAAGGTGTTGTGCGATATCTATAAATTCAACACCAACATTGCGATACGTCACAGCCCTAAAGGATTCAAGGTCGACCCACACTGGGCACTCATCTCCCCGTGTGAGAAATACAACAAATCTGGGGCGTCCTCAGACTTGCTCACCGACTTGGCTCACGTTGTGATTCAGAGGTACATCTCCCACATGGTATTCGGGAAGAAGGAGTCTAACAAGGTGAGTGCGGAGCAGGTGTTCATCCTGTGGTCGATCTCGAACAACCAATCAGTTAGCATGCTACAGTACCTCAAGGAGTCCCTCTATGACATACGCAACGAATCGAGACGTGGTCCGACTTTGGGGCATGTTGTGACACAGTTGGCCAACCACTTTGGGGTTCAGGTTGACGAGCCAAAAATCCTCGTCAAATGGTTTTCGCAGAAGGACCTGTACAACGCCGACTTCCTTATCGATGACACCCATGCGCGCCCTGTCCAGAAGCGGAAAGCATACGAAGCTTATTGTAAGCAAATGGGTTTGCCTTTTCCCCACCTGACGAGACCGTACCAGCTCCCACGAGCTCTCATTCCGACGACGGGGAAAATGCGGAGGCCGACGAACAACCCGCTCAGAACACTATTCAGCCTCCCCCGTTGATGGACGAGCACACGGGTGGGCCTGCTCAGTCAGCTGCTCCACTTTAGTTTTCTGAGTATGAAGCTTGGAATGATGCCCGTTGGACGGCTTTCACCGAGCAGAACGACGCACGTTGGACGTCGTTCGTGCAGTCCAACATCGCACGTTGGACATCATTCGAGCAGTCCAACAACACACGTTGGACATCGTTCGTCGAGTCCAACAACGAGCGGTGGACAAATCAGACCAAGCGGTGGAACGAGTTCGCCCGGGACAATGCAGCACATTGGACAACACATGATAACCGATGGGACACTTGGGCGGATCGGAAGTACCAACAGTGGAACACATGGGACACCCGTTTCAGCCAATGGGATACTCGTTGGATTGCGGGAAGCAGCGACCCTTCACAGCCACCACCATCGGATGCACAGTGTTGTGCTTTGTACGTCTTTCTTTTCCCTTTCTCTTTATTTTAGGATTGTTTTTATTTCGTTTCTCTTGCTTGCTTTATGGACCGGTCTAGTTTGTAGGATTATGTGTTGTATTTTTTTGAGTTTGGACTATGGTGAATGGTGAGATTAGTCAATAACGGTTGATTGAGTTAAGAAGTTGCGATGATGTGAATAAGTGATATATCTCGATGAAATGCTTGGTTGTTTTGTTTGACAAATATTTTACCTTGTAAGGTTTGAGCCATGTTTGTTTCTTTTCTTGTATGATATTGGTCGAAATCGTTGTCAATTAGGATTTGCCTTGAGTCTACTTTGAAATGATTAAGTCAAATTTGTGTAATGTGAATATGATTGAGGCATCCTTTTTATTACCTTATCTTTTGTGAAAATAAATCCGCTAGTCATCCCCTTTGAGCCGTATTGATTCTTTCTTTATTAATAACCCCGTGATGATGATATTTTGAGTTGCGAATGGTATTGTGGAGATTAGGACGTGATTAGTATCGGTGTTGTATATATTGAAAAAAAAAATCGGAATGAAATCAAAAGAAAATGAATATCCTAAGAAAAAAAAAAAAAAAAAAAACGTGAATAATAAGGGTAGCGTATTGGTCTTGAAGAAATGGGAGGAAACGGTTGGTGAACCAGAAAAGTTTATGCTCATAATTAAGTGAATGAATTGAGCGAATTCGATTTTTATTTAGCTACTTAGCCTATATTTATCCTACCCGGTCCAAAGAGCCTATGTTACATCCCTAAAAGTCCTCTTGATTCACTATTGCATAAATTTGACTATTTTAGAGTAAGAGTTAGACGATAGGCAAACTCATGATTGATTCGGTTGATGACCAATTTGAGCGTACCCGTTGATATTTGAGAAAAGAAATTGAGTGAGGCATATATGATATATTTTGTACTTGAGAGTCTATGTTTTTCAGAATAACCAAGTTATTAGTTGAGGTGTGTTCTTATGATCATTTGAATTCTTCTTGATTTGATTAATTAGTTTGAGATTAGTCTTGCTTTTGAAACCATTATCCTTGCTCATTTGTGTGTTTTCTTTTTTTCTCTCTTTCTTTTTCTTTTTGTTCGGGACGAACAAAGGTTTTAGTGTGGGGAAGTTGTTTGTCCCATTTTTGTTGTTATTTTTGTTGGTATTTTGTTGGTCGTTTTCCCGTTTTTGGTCGTTTCTTAGGTTTTTCCGGTCCATTTAGTCATTTAGTGTGTTTTCTTTGTTATTTTGGTATGTTTGATTTTTGTTATTTCTATTCCTATTTTTCCTTGTTTTTCGTGTTTTTTCGTTCGTGCAATTTCGGGTAGTAGGTCGTCCGGGTGTTGAGCACAAACTAAAGAAGCGATTTCCCATACGATTCCGAGAAGTCCCATACCGTTTCATGCTACCAAACACGTGGAGGTTAAGTATTCAGGTCAGGCGGGACCCAGGGGATGCTAACCGAGAACACAAGAGCACAAAAAAATAATATTTGTACCTGCCCGGACGTTAGCGACCGCTAAGGTCTTACTGATAGCGCCGCTATGGAAAGATAACTGGGGCTGAGGCTTTTAACTGAATTCCCTTAGCGGCCGCTAAGGGGGGTTTAGCGGCCACTAACCCCTCCTGACAGACAAAAGCTTTTTCTTTCCCTAAAAATCTGGCATGTTTGGAGGGAGCTCGAAAATGGGGAGCTTTGGACCGAGTTTTCCACCTAAAAATCTGGTTGTGGTGTTGGAGAAGAGGCCACTACTCATTCTCTTCCATTTCTTCTACATAAAGGCCATCTTTCAACACCATGGGATCATCTTGTATCATTTTCTTCACTCATTTCCATTTTCCATAGTTTGTTCTTAAGTTTGTATTTTGGAGGATTGTTTGGAGACATTGTGTACCTTGGATTTGCATTTCCTCTTGGATTTCACATTATTAGTAAGTTATTTCTTTCATCTTGTTTATGTTGAGAATGACTTATTTTTATGTGAATGATTATGTTGAGATTATTATGAGCAACTAATCCTCTAGCTAGGGTTAGGAGATAATTGTTTCGGTTAGTTCTTGTTTATGTGTATGTCAATTACTCAATCTTTGCGAGTTTTATTAATCTTATGATTGAATGCTTGATCACCATTTTAATCTTTACAATCGATTTCAAAACCGAGAGCGGCGAAATTAGTGAACTTGGCTCGTTTAGACTATACATGTTCGGAAACGTATTGTCTATGTGTTGATTGTCTCGTTAATTTACTCTTTTATGTTTTTCCGCATATTACGAGAGTTAGTGAGGTTAAACTACTAAATGAGTTAGTTAATCGAGCCTTTTAATCGAGTTGTTGATTGCCGTCAAATTTATGTAAAACCGAATGCGATTGTCCCCAATACCTTAGTTCGTTTATTTGTATTTGAATTACATTTATCTTCTTGAATTGTGCTCTCTAGTTGCTACGTTTAAATAGCTCATTTCCATTCTATTAGTTGATAATCAAAACCTACAAATTCGAAGTAGAGTATTTAGGAATATTTGCGTTTTTGTGATTGAATAAACGTACAAAATAGTCCAGCTAACCTTCCTTGAGAATACGACCCGGTGTTCGAATTTTTTGATTCTACTCCGGTAAAATAAACTACAACACATCCATTAATAGAAGCTCCCATCGACATGAAAACATATTCAAACCTCTTTGATTCGTCTGTCTTAAGTTTCACAACGGATCCTGGATTTGCTTCCATTAGCTTTGCTAGATAACCTGGTAGGGCACATATGGATTGCCATAAACTTTATCTAATGCTTTGATCTGTGAACGCCAAGCTTTCTTGTAAGACGAATTAACACCACACATATTTTTCATGTCTCGGATAATGTCGGCAGGTGTATAATTGGTTTTCAAACTTTCAAATTTATCTTAAATGAAGAAACCAACTATATTTAATGTTGCTTGCCGCTTATCATTCATCCTGTTGTCGAAACTACATGAATGATCTATTTTCACTTTTCGAATTTTAAAAGTTGGAGAGCAGCCGATTTTTGAAGCCTTCAGTTTCCATGAGCAATTTGTGTCAATGCATCTTATGTAATATTGCCTCTTACAGGACTTTACAACCATGAACAGAAAATGGTGTTTAATTGCATACAAGCTTAGAAACTTCTTTATTTCTTCTTTGTCAGAAAAGGTTTGTCTGACTTCAAGCACTCCATCAAGGTTGGCTGGTTGCTTCATGTCGGTTTTCTTTTTGTGTTTGCCTTCAACACATTCCATAGTTTCACTTGCTATTTCACCAAGATTGTTGGAACATTTTTTTGCACACTCAACTAGGTCAATATATTTCGATTTTTTTTATTCTTCAGCGCAATAAATCTGTCAGTCTGAGGACCAGTGTTTGCTTTGGTTCCAAACTTGCACAAATTGGGTATCTTGAGTAATCTGGATCCTTTCTTTTCAATGCCTTGTAAAATTGAAGGCTCATCTCGTTGCTTATGGTTATTGGTTTGTAGCCTTCCTTTGTCTGATATTGTAGCTTCAAACAAGTATATGTTGATTCTTTCTCCATCATCTTCTCAACAACTTCTCTCAAATCCTTCAAACGTTCAGTTTCTTTATGGAAAATACCACATACTTCATATCCTTCATATGTGACTTCATCCCTCCATTGCCCATTGTAATGCACAATCACAAGATCACTACTCATGATTTCTACCACAAAAAGAAAAAAATAATAATAATATCAATTTGCAGTCCATCAATATGTGAATGATCGAATTCATTACATATATAAGTTATACTACTTTTTCGATTACCTTGTTATGTCTTTACACTGACTTTGTACTGAATGCTCCTTCGATGGATTTGTACTGAATTACCTTGGGATTTGGTTTGTCTATTCAACAGTTATATTTTGGCGAAAATTCGTAACTACCCTAGATAGAATAAAAGGCAAATTCCATGGAAGAAACTGACACTTATATAGACGTGTTGCTTCATCATTTTGGTTTTCTTTTTTCATTTTTATTTTTTAATTTTTTGATGCAACAATTTATAACTGACGACAGTTTTATTTACATTCAAAATTTAAATTGTTTTGTTTTGGTTCAAAATTTTAATTGTTTTTAATTTACATTTGCCTTTAATCGTTGGCAGTTAATTTAGGATTCTAGCATTTATGTAAATCCTTACAGTCAGTTTCTTCCATGACATTTTTTATTCTATCTAGGGCAGTTATTAAATTTTGCCACCAGACTGGTCATGACCAGGGCAGACTTTTCTCAACCCAAAAGATATTGAGAAACACATTGTAGAGTTTTACACACCTCTTCTCTACTGAAGGATGCTGGGGTGGAAATCCATACTTCCATTAATACCCACCTCCATCACAGTAGAGATGAATCAAGCATTGCTCAAATTAGTTGAAGAGAAAGAAGTTAAAGCAGCCCTATTCAGTTTACAACCTGACAAATCCCCAGGGGAGGATGGAATGACAGCTGCTTTCCATCAGCATTTCTGGAACCTAATCAAACAAGATCTCATGGCAGCAGTCACAAGTTTATTTCCAATCAGGTATGATTCTCAAATACTGGAACCACACAGTGATCTCATTAATTCCTAAGTGATTAAATCCAGAATCTTTGGGACAATTTAGGCCCATCAGTCTTTGTAGTGTTGTGTACAAATTAACTATAAAATTCTTGCACAAAGACTCAAGATGTGTTTAAACTACTGCATCAATGACTTTCAAGTTGCTTTTGTGGAAGGTAGACTATTAATTGATAATGTTATAATTGCTCAAGAAGCATTCCACTTTCTGAACAAAGACTCATCTGGCCCTAATTTCTTCATGGCTCTAAAATTGGACTTAATTAAGGATTTTGATCGAGTTGAGTGGTTATGCCTGAAAAAATAATGCTTCAAATGGGTTTTCATAGTGACTTTGTGAAGCTGATTATGATCTGTGTATCCACTGCCACATTTTCTTTTAAAGTCAATGATTCTCTCAGTGGCTATGTAACTCCTTCTAGAGGCATTAGGTAACGGGATCCCCTATCCCCATACCTGTTTATAATTGTGGCAGAACTACTCTCAGCTTTGATTCTTCACTCAATCAACAATGGACAGTTCAAAGGAAGGAAAATTTCTAGAAATGGCTCACTGCTTTCTCACCTTCTTTTTGCAGACGATTCTTTGTTCTTTTGCAAAGCAGGGATTGAACATGCTGCTATCATCATGAACATTCTTGAGCAGTACAGATTGTTCACAGGCCAATCGGTTAAATTACACAAGTCAGCAGTATTCTTCAGTAAGAATACACCTCAGCACCTTCAGAATTTTATCTACTCATCTTTGAATGGCATTGTATCACACAGATCAACTCGTTATCTTGGGCTTCCTCTTGGCATTGGTAGAGCAAAAATGGAAGTCTTTGATTATCTGCTAATCTCTGTCAGAAACAAACTTGTTAGTTGGAAAGCTAAACTTCTAAGTACAGCTGGTAAAGAGGTGCTCCTTAAAGCAATAATTAAGGCCCTTCCTATCTTTTCTATGTCCTTCTTTAAGCTCCCTCTAACACTTTGCTCAGATATATCAAAACTTTGTGCTCAGTTTTGGTGGAAAACAGGAGCTGATCAATCACAAGGCATCCATTGAAAAAAGTGGAGCTTCCTGTCTCTTCCTAAGAAGTATGGTGGACTTGGTTTTCATGACTTGCAGCTTTTCAACAAGGTCCTTATTTGCAAGCAGCTATGGAGGATTGCATCAAATCCTGACCTGTTAGTCAGCAGAATATTAAAAGACGGGTATTTCCCTAATACTTCTCTCATTTATGCTGGTAAGACTCAAGGGGATCTTGGATGTGGAATAGTTGGATGGATGTCATGCCTCTGTTCTCCAAGTGGTTAAGGATTGAAGTAAGGAATGGTGCTAACACTAGAATTGATGATTTCAATTGGGTGACAAATTTACATAAGCTTTCTCCTACTTTAATCCCTATTGCTAGAGCGCATCTGACATGGGTTAATGAATTATTGCAACCTAATGGTTATCAGTGGAACGAGTGGTTGGTTACACAGGTTTTTGATGAAACAGACAACAAAGCAATTTTTAGCATTTTTTCCCTGCATCCAGGCAGTAGGCTGTTTTAGGGTTTAGAGAAGAAGGGACATTTTTCTGTATCTAGCAAATACAAATATCTCTCATCACTCAAGCTTTTGCAATAAGATATCCCAGAATGCAGTTCTAACTCTAATCACAAATGGCAATCAAGTTTAGGCACTGGAAGCTGAAAATTGCAGGTAAGATCAATTTTTTCTGTGGAAATGCATCACAGACACTCTCCCAGGGGCAGCTCATCTGAAGAAAAGAGGAGTTGATCTTGACATTACCTGTTCCATCTGCGGGGAAGCACCAGAAACAGTTAAGCACCTTTTCTTTGCCTGTTCAAGAGCAACCAGATTTTGGAAGTTATGTCCAGTGCAATGGGATGGATTGCTGAGCAACACAGATTCCTTCAAGTCCTGGTGGTACCAAGTTTGCACTCTGGATCACTCTGAAGTAGGCGAAGCAAGAATTCAACTCACAACGTATATGCTTTGGTGGCTTTGGAAGTCCAGAAACTTTTGGATTTTTCGAAAATCCTTAATACCCGAGCACGTGTTGTCTCAAATGGCTCAATCTGACTGGCTCCAGTTTTTATCAGCTTCTCTATAGCTTTTATAGTTTCTGTTTCTTTTTCAGTTTTGCTTATTACAGATTGTAAGCTCAATGCTAGGCTTTGTAGCAGTGGTAGGGGGCATCTTTCTTTAGTGTTTGTTAGTGGCATGGCTTTGGCCTTTCTGCTTTGTTTTTCTAGTTGAGGTTCTAGACCGCCTTGAGCGTGTCTCTCATGTTTTTATTTACTAGTGGCCCATTGGACTCTTGTATTCGAACTTTATTCGCTCCGAGTTTTTATAATACTTACCTATGTCGTTTTGGAAAAAAAACTAATCATACACATTTTTCAAATTAACTATAGTTAACAAAGAATCAATCAAAACCAAATTAAATCCATATCCAGTCACACCCTAAGTTGTCATTGAAGGTCTCACTAAGAGCATCTTTAGTAACAACTTTTTGAAAGGTATAAAAACATAAACCTGCCAGGTTTTTTACTATATTTGACACGTTTGGGTAGGCTTGTAAACAAACCCTCCCCAACATAGGTTCTCGTCGCAGTCGGCGGTTGCCTCCGGCATGGTGAGGATTCCGTGTGCACCGTGTTGGGTCGAGATGCGGGGCTTCGAATCCGGTCGGGATTGAGGTGGGTTTCCCTCCCCTTTTACCCGTCTCCCTGATTTTTGTGGAGGTTGGTGGTGGTTGGCAGGAGAGATTAGTGGACGAATGACAGCCGCTCGTGGCAAATGGTGGAGCATGATGTCCGTTGGGTTTGCTAGTTTTGTTGGCTGACGGGGGTGAGGGGTGTCGTCCTCCGGTCATCGATCTGAGGTGATTCGTTCGGGAGAAGATTTTGGTCATCTGATGCGATTCCAGCTAGCAGTGGCTACACTGGAGTTTCTGGTTCAGTTCTAGAGTAGGTAGGCAATTATCTCCGGGAGTCGGGTCGCAGTTGTGGTTTGTTTGTTAGCTGAGAGGAGAGTGGTTTTCTATTATCGAATAGTTATGTGGTTAGTGTTTTTTTCTACTTTGTTGTTGTTCTAATCTCCTCTTGTACAAGTTGTTTCTCACCCTGGTGTGAGCTTTTTACTCCGTTTTGTTTTGTGGGTGTGTTAGTATAGGTAGGCCCCTGCTGTCGTCGGAGTTCCTCTCTAAATTTAGCTAGGTGGTTGTTTGACTTATTTTAAGTTGTAATTATGTGTTTATTTTATAAAACCTAACAACTCACATAACTGTTAAGCCATCTCACAATATTAGTTGTACATATGCACTTTATTATCATTTGACGATAAGTATGCACATCTAAACTTGCATTTCAGATAATACTACACACAATATTATCATAAGCTGACAAGGAAAGGCACCATTTAAACTTGCATTCCAGTTCCAGACAATACCACTTAACCACACAAGCGTTCAGCAAATATTAAGCAAATGTGCAAACTCAGAGCTATGTAATGCTAAAAGCACACTACTAGCAAATTACCCCTTCAAACCAGAGCCACTATAAAAACTTGACTTCCTATTTAGATAATAAGTACACCGTTCACCTATCGAAGCAAGAAGGAAAGTTCGGAAATCTCATCTGCAGTAAAGAGAATCACTTTAAAGTGTTAACACATAACGAAGGACAAAGGCCAAAGGAAAACGGTGTGAATTCAGATAAAACAATCTTTATGACATTGCGATTATGAACAAAAGCTGCTCCAAACCTTGAACACCCCGCTCGAAATCATCATTTACCACCAGGAAATTACAGCCATGAGGATAAAAACATATACGACAAAGAGCAAATTTCCTTGGGTAAATTGGTAAAATTGCCTGAATCAACACCGACAATGTCAACAGGGTGTCATAATAAAGGAAGAAAGAAAAAATCAAACACCTAAATTTGTTGTTTCTCTCAACAAATGAGAACATGTCCAAACATAGATGGCAATAGTTGCAATAGAAGTTATTCAGAGTTACTCAACATCAATAGCAGAAAAAGGCAAGTTATGAATGCAAGGAGCCACGACAAACTCCCTGCAGCCAATTGATAGGTTGGACTATATCAAAAAAATCCTCAATGCCATGTTCTATAAAGGATACAGTATGAGGACAACACATGTAACTACCATGCTGAGATGAGCTAACACAACTCATATGATCTGTATATAAAGGGAGGGGAAGTTTTGATCACCCATCCTTCTAATGCTCAATAGCTCAATAAAGGTAAGAACAATATAGCCTATAAAAGATCTTCCCGAAACATTAATATAAGATATAGTATTTCTAGATTCTACATACTATTACTAGTAAGATCACAGTGAAGCTAAAAAAAAAAAAAAAAAAAAAAACAAGGTTTGCCGACTGGAGATTTTAAAGCTAAAATTCACTTTTGAAATTTCTCCAAATGTAAACAGGTCAAACAAGGCTTCTCCATAATTAAACTACACAAAATTTGATTTAAAAGTTGGGACTTAGGAGTGTGTTGGCTACTAAAGGAAGCTATTCTGGGAAGTAAGTTGAAACACCAACATACTAGGAAAAGCACTGGAGAGCATACAGAAATTTAGATTGCAGGTGAGATTGTTTTGGACAAACCGGGGTTTCGGGAAAGTATATGCAAAGGAAAAGGCATAACAGAACATATAGGAAGACACGCGTAGTGGTAGGAAAATACATTGCAAAATGTATTTGGTAGTGGTAGGAAAATACTTGGCCAGTGAACAACCTAAGATTACAAAGAAAAACAAGAAAAGAGAATAAGATAAGAGTTCACCAGTTTGAAAGCCACACATTTCAGGGTCAAATAGTTGCTATAACTTTATACCATATCATGCATCAGATGGCCAGCAGAAGAGACTATGTCACTATGCTACTAATTGCCAATCGAATAGTATCACCAAGAGAATACAGATACAAAAGAAGGGAAGATATATAGATGAAAATAAAATTCACATTGAACACATAAAGGACTAGCAAAATCTACCCAATAAAGCACCAACAACATAAAACACAAGCGCCTCGTCCAATGCACCACAACACTAAACATTTATCAACATAGAAGTACACACAACAGNAGAAAAGTACAGGCGCAAAAGTTACCACCAACATCACTGCTCCTTCTCCTCCCTCTCCCGATTCCACTGCTCAATCCTCGCCCTCCGTTCCTCACTCCCTTCCCTCACAGGACTTCTGCTCCTCTGCCTTCTCCTCTCGCCCTCATACCTTCCCCCACCACCATGCCTGTCTCCTCCAGACCTCCTGCCGCCACCTCGGAAGTCCCGCCTCTCGTAATCCCTGTCTCTGTCCCTGTCCCGATCTCGCCTGTGGTGATTTGAAGGAGGGCTCGAGCTCCGGCTCCTGCTGCGGGTCCCCCAGTACCTCCCGTGGTGGTTGTTCCTGCCGAAAAGCTTCCTCCTCAGCTCCCGGCCGATCATCTTGACGTGCATGAAATTGCAGTAGCCGCCACGGTTACAGCTATTCTCCTCGTACTGGCGGCAGGTGGCCTCCCGGAAGTCGGTGACAGGGGAGAAGTCGGCGATGATGGGGCGGCCGGAGTAGAACCGTCCCTGGAGGGCCGCGAGGGCGGCGGCGGCCTGGTCCTCCTCCTTGAACTGGGCGTAGACGTTGCCGATCATGTGGTCGGCGAGGTTGTCGCAGACGTTGAGGCTCTCGATCTCTCCGAACTTGCGGAGCTCCTCGTAGATGTCCTCGAAGAAGTCCTCGAAGTGTTCCTGGATCTTGCGGGGGTCGATGGGCTGGCCCTGGGGGTCGACGCCGGGGGTGACCATGTCGGGACGCTGGTACATGTTGGAGAGGAGGAGGGTCGGGGATATGGTGGGGCGGTTGTGGAGGCGGGAGCAGCGGTCTCCGTGGCGGCAAGCGCCGATCTTGAAGTAGAAGGGGCAGTTGACGCGGTCCTTCTCGGTGCCGAAAATGGAGGCCAGGTGCTCCGCCATTGTTGATCCTTGCGAAGGGGGGGTTTACTGTTTGCAAATAATTGTTTTGGGGGAAATGAGGAGGAATTGATTTTTGTGCAGGGGTTTGAGGAAGTGAACAGTAAACCCTAGTTTTTTGCCCAAAGTATGAAATGGGGAAATGGATTGCCCCAAAAGTTGAGTAGGAAGAAGAAAGTCGAGAAAGTCGGCATGTGAAGTGACAAAAATACCCCCGCCCGATCTTCCAACGTAATTATTAACCTATATATATAATTGTTGACAAGATTAAATAAATTTTATTCAACCAACAATTAATAATAATATGAGTTTATTTAATAAAAATACGTGTTCATTTAATAAAAATATATTCACCGTTTAATAAAAAATATGTAACTTTCAGTTACACAATTTATTTTGACATATCTCATTTTAGATGGTGTCCACTTCTGTAACGTCTTTTTATGTCATGAAATACCAAATACTTTTGTTTTTATTTTGATACTATATAATTTTTGGAATTATATAAATACATATTCACAACTAATTAAGAATGACTACAAATATATCTATTTTTTATTGCAGTCATACAATAAGAAATAAATATTTTTTCGGATATTACAAATATACATCAAATTTTTAAAAAATCAAATCTCAACGTCACGAGTCGAAAGGGTTTAACGATAATGATTCGTTGTGATGAGGATTCTGACGATAGAAAAGTCACGAGTCGAAGGGGTTTAACGATAATAATTTGTTGTGATGAGGATTCTGACGATAGAAAAACTGGGGTTGGCATTTTTTAACCCAAAACCAAAAATCGAACCGAACGGACGAGAAAATAAATCGAACCATACCGAACCGCTTGTAACTGTAACCGAATATCGGTTACCGAATCACTATCGGTTCGTTATCGATTTAGAACCCATAAGGGTTCAGTAAAACCGATACCGAACCGATAAGGGTAAAAAAAATTAGAACAAGGATTATTTTTTGTAAATATTAAAACAAGGATTAATTGTTTAGTGTTTAAAAATTAAAATATAAACTCAACCCTACATAAACCCCAAACTGACGAAAAAAATACCACTACCCATCTCCTCATTCACTTTCTGACCATAACAAATGTCGGTTTACCAGTCTCGCTCCTTCTATGGAAGATGGTAATGTAACTGTAGTTTATTCTTGTACCACTGTTACTAGATAAGTTAGTTGAAATTGTATCCAAAATTTTATTTTTTGGATGTTCAACAATAGATTGTTTTATTAGTTGCGTTTAACACAAAAACAAGAATTTAACTATATTTAAACTAACTTCTATATACTAAATTTAACTCTTTAACACTTCAATGAATTTGTGAGCCTTTTGTGTATATTTAATTGCTAAGAAGTGAGAAAATTACCAAAATGACGAGAAAAGTAAACATTAATTTTTTTTTTTCGTGTGTTCAAAACCGGTTCGGTTTTTAGGTATAAAACCAAAACCGAACCAACTTTTCAGTTACCGGATATTCGGTAATCGACTTTAATCTGTTCGGTATCGGTTTTGAATTTTGAGGTTACCGACATTATCTGTTCGGTATCGGTATATGTTTATCGGTTCGGTTACCGAACCGATACCACCCTAAGAAAAACCATGAATGTTGTATATAAAGAAGTGTTTAATAATATTTAGATTCACTTTTTTAAATTATTTTTTTCTTATTTATTAAGTTATAATTTTTATTTTAATCTATATTTTTTATTATTTTCCTTATATTATATCATTTTTCGTGCAAATGCACGGGGTAAAACTAGTTTTAATTTAAAGTTGTGATGTGGAAAATTTGGAAAATGCGGAATCATGTACACGTATAGCATGGAATCGTATTTTTCGTGTTATTTATTTAATTTAATTTTAATTATGATAATAAATATTCCCTCCTTTTTTAATATAAGTGTCGTTTTGAGAAGTTGCACAATAAATAAGAAATTTTTTTGCCGATAATAACTCTCATTAATAAGGATAGATATTAATGTTTTGAGAAAAAAATGAATAGTGAATATGAAAAAAATGTAGTGTATTTATTAACTAGATGAGGGTAATAATGAAAAAATATGTACGAAAGATCTAAAACGTCATTTATTTGGTTAATTGTTGATAAAACCAAAATGACATTTTTAAAAAAAGTAGTATAAAATTTAACGAAGAGAAATATTTGAACTTTTTATGTCGTGTTCATGTCTTGGTCGGCTAATTCGACGCTACCCGTGAGGGTAGTACCCGTTTTCACTGTTCGCCAATAGAAAGCAGCCACGTGGATTCCACTCACATATCTGCTCCTCCTTTTATTTCCGGACGACATTTCCTTTTAAAATAGTTTCATATTTTTTTTTTTTATTTGTTGATAACTATACTATGGTTATATACCGTGGTTACTTTTCAATTAGAAACCACAGATCCTCTGAAAAATTTAAAAACCTGATCTGAAAAACTAACTATACCATGGTTATATACTATGGTTACTTTGCATTTTGTTCTATTATTGGTTTCATATACTCCAGAATAATATTCCTAGAATGTTTTTTATCTTTAACTCCTTCACAAGAATATTCAAATTCTTTCATTTGCAGTTCTTAAGTGCCCGAAATGTATCGTTGATCACATTTTTTAACGCTAAAACTTTTGGCATGCACATATTGACAATAGAGTAAATATGTTTCTTCAATGTTATTTATTTTCATACCATCTGATAGTCTATTTTCTAAATGCTCCACTACTGATTCAAAAGACTGAACCTCAGGATTTGGTGTTGAAGAACACCCCAAACCTTGTTCTTGAAACTCTTCACCATTACCCTCGATGTCTTCACATTGCTCCGCAAAATAATGCTCCATTAGTTCAGTAATACCTATATACAACAAATATATCAGCTCATAAACTTACAACAAAAAAAATTAATTTTAAATTTATCATATGCTAAATTTACACACCTTGTTCAATAATTCCCACCAAAAAATAAACACATCCTAACCAAAACAAATCACCTCTTTTTAAAAGGAAAAAGAAGAAAAAGGATAAAACAAATCAATGTACATTGATTTAGACAAGTATCACACGAGAGGAAACTATCATTGAACAAACAAAATCTCATATGATGCCAAAAGTTAGAAAATTTTATCTCAGTACAGATAATGCTTATGTTGCCCAACAGTGTTTTGCTTTTTTCTAACAGCTAAAAGCTTCTGCAATCAGTCTAAATAGTGCATATTTATACGCTTTCACAAAAGCAAGTATGTGTTTATATGCTAAGTACCTACTCATTTTAATCACATTTGTTCAATAATATTTCCAACAAAAGCAAATCACCTCTGTTTATACCCTAATACTAACCACAACCTAACCAAAAAAACACAAAATCATTTGCTTCAGGATTTCACTAATACTACATTATACCCTAATACTCTACCCCATAATCGCCATTAATCACATCATAAAAAAAAGAAATGGCTTGCTTCAGGATTTTCCTAATACAAAAAGCAAAATGCAATTTCTCTACCTGTAGTTCGAGAAGAACTACAACTTCCCTAAATTTTAACCATGTTTTTTTAGCGTCGATTTAGAGTGCACGTTTTTGAAGTTTTTGGAGGTTTTCAGATCTGTTTTTTTATTTGAAGTATATTTGTCTTTTTCTCATGTGAAAGCAGGTATGATTTTTTATTTATTTTTTATTTGCTTAACATAACCATGGTTTGATAATAAATAAAAAAAAAAGCTAATAAACCCTCATGTGCCTGCGAAAAGGAAAATGGACTGAAAAAAAAGGGAATCATGATACCTTCCACGTGGCTGCATACCATTGGCGAACAGTAAAAACGGGCACTACCCGTACGGGTAATTCGACGCTACCCGTAAGGATAGTACCCGTTTTCACTGTTCGCCAATAGAAAGCAGCCACGTGGATTCCACTCACATATCTGCTCCTCCTTTTATTTTCGGACGACATTTCCTTTTAAAATAATTTTAGGTTTTTTTTATTTGTTGATAACTATACCATGGTTATATGTCATGGTTACTTTTCAATTAAAAACCACAGATCCTCTGAAAATTTTAAAAACCAGATCTGAAGAATTGCTCTCCACTTCAACGCCCAAAAAACTCCAAAAAGTTGCTCTCGACTCCGAATCGCCCGACTTGAAGAAAGGGTTGGTTGTTTGCTTCAGTTTTTGGTGGTGTTGCTTAAAATTAAGTTGTTTTTGGATCTGGTTTCCTGATATACTCTTTAGATATTTCTATATCAACGTTTTGAATGACAATGGATGTGTTTCTGGTTTCAGGCGATATGATTGCTGTGTTGTTAGAATTAAATTTTGTATGCATAGTTCTTGTGATGTGATTGTTTAGCTGCAACTGATAATCGTGAGAGTAAATGTGGTGTTTTTAGGTCTGTGATTGTTCTTGGGTAGCTGGTGTTTTGTAGTTCTTGTAGGCTTTATGTTAGCTTGGTTTTTATTAGAATTTGTATGCATGTTATGTGATTTGCAACTAATTAGGACTAATTTGCATAGTTGGCTGCTATTGTAGGTATTTATTAGTTCTGGATTCTGGTTATTTCAAAAATGCTTCGTTGGTTATAAAATGAATGCAAGTGATTGATGTAAAATATAACCATAAGAGTAACTGTGGCGTTTTTTTCCCTTGCTTATGGATTTTGTTTAGGTCCGTGATTGTTCTTTGGTACCTGGAATTTTGTAGTTTTTGTATGGTTTGTGTTTAGGTTTGGTTTATTTGATTTTGTATACGCGTTCTTGTGTGATTGTGTACTTGCAACTAATTAGAACTAATTTGCTTAACTGGCTGTTGTGATGTGGAATATGTTTATATTGAAAATACTTTTTTTTTTCTTATTGAATTGTGGATTTTCATTATCATCTCATGGGATGTAGAATGAATGTGAGTAGTTGATATAAGAAATAATAGGAAGGATAGTTATGATGTTCTTTTCCCTTTTGTTGATGGATTTCATTTCGTTTCGTGATTGTTC